GTCTTCTACACACACTCTCCCCTTTTAAAAGCATTTAAAAGAGTAGGAGAACTGGATATCTATTTTCCATTCCTAAATCTTTCCTATTTTCAATTGGACATTTATTTACACTATGCAAAGAGAAAAGATTTAACAGAAAAATTCAAGATCTGCATCATGATAAACAGTAACTTCCCGCCAGTGAGGAGTTCCACTTCTCCATTTTTTCTGTTCTGACTTCCCTTGCCATCTTCTCCTCTGTGCTTGTCTATTCCTTCCCCTACACTGACATGTTACCTTGACAGATTCCCTATAGAAAGTTTACTCCTATACCAGCCAGAAGAGTTACTGTTACTTACTATTCCTTTAAGACCACTCAAGTACAGTAGAGAGAAGTAGAGAAAGAGTGTTGAACAAGGCGCTCTGATGGTGAACAATAATCGAGATAACTCACGACCTTTAGAGCCACCTATTTTTTAAAAATTTCACCAACGTCTAGGTAGTATCTGTAACCTTCTTTCCTCTCTTCCCAAAGTATGCTGTTAGCTCTCCCTCTGTGGTTACCAGTGTCCTGTTTAATTTACTGCTTTTACTTAATTTCTGGACATGTGTGCTGATGGGAAGAAAGCATTCTGTGTACATGTGTTTGTTTCCACGTTATATTGCTAAAATATATTCTCCGGTACCAATTAAACATTTTTTAAAGAAACAGAAGAGCCTGGTTTTATGTATACCAAGAAACTATAAGCCCTGCAGAGAACTGCTTTTAAGTGGTAGAATGTGTCACAGGATACAGCTTTATAAAAACTATTCACGTCCCTTTCCTCACCTGTCCCTAAAGGAGAGCATTTTCTTTTGTGAACCATGTGGATGGTTAAGGGATAGAGAGAAATTTTTCAATTCCTATAGAGCAAAATAATTTTAGACAGGTAACTAAATTAAGACAGAATTAAGTCCTTCAAGGCAACAAGTTCCCGAATCACGCTTTGCTTCTATTTAGCTAAAATACAGGAAGGAATAAAAAAAGATTCCCCAAACCTTAGTTACTTTGCAAATTAATTTATTTTTCTATAGCCATATATTATAATTCAATTCCAAATCCAAACACTATCTTGCAACCTGGTTTTAATTACAGCCGAATACACAGGATTTTAATTAGTTTCAAATTTTAATTTAGCCTTTATTCATTTCAATTATTCAGCCTCATGGCCCACAAAACTTTGTAATTATCTTAAGCCCATTAATGGGAACTTTTAAACTGCCAGAGAAAAAATAGGCATTACATATGCTAAACCTTTCCACTGACTATACATCTAAAAGAGTCCATTCAAAATATTTTTAATTGGTTACAAAGGGTCAAACAGGCTTCTACTTTAAAAATTAATGAACCACATTAGAAATTACATTAAAAACATTTTTTCCAATTAGTATTTTCTCTTTAGACACAACCACTGTGATGTTCTAACTCTTCATCTCCATGGTCATGAAGATCCAATTTAATGCTCACCAGAGCATGTTCAACAACAGAAGACGTTCAACAATTTCTCCAGGAATCAAGAACTCCCAAATAATTCCCCTTCTAGGACCTTTTTCTGACATGTGAAAATGTCTAATAATCTTCAAATAGGGAGAATAATTTTACTGCTAAATGTATTCCATGAAGGAATCAGTCTACCTCGTCTATATGAAGAAACATGTAATACACAACAACATAATGTATAGGAAAACATGAAATAAGATAATGTCAAATAAGATAAAGCAAAAAAACAAAAAAAGCACCCAAGCCTCTGGCCCAATGCATTTGTGAGATGCCACATCTAATCTTACCTAACCAGAGGCACACAGAACCACAGAATGCAAATGTGTATTTGGGCAGACAAATTTATACACACCACACATTTACTGAGGATAGTTACACAGTGAGTCATTCCACCAATCATCACCAATGACTTCTCAGAATATCTTAGTATGAATACTTGGAACATCAAATACCACTGAGGCACCAAGTACCTTCTTATAGTACGGAAAAGAAAACAGAATCTACTCTGCCCGTCTCCCATTTTACTTAGATCCAAGAAAAAATTCTAAAGACAAATTTGACTGCACAATGACAATATACAAAATCTAGCCCTAACTCCTGCTTAATCAAATATATGTCATTAATTGCAATCGAAAGACTTACTTTTGAATCTTTTAGTACATAAATCCTATTTTAAAAATAGTCTTTCACAGCTGGGCATGGTGGCTCACGCCTATAATCCTAGCACTGTGGGAGGCCCAGGCAGGTGGACTGCCTGAGCTCAGAGGTTCAAGACCATTCTGAGCCAGAGTGAGCCAGAGAGACACCCCCATCTCTACCCAAAAAGAGCCAGGCATTGTGACAAGCACCTGTAGTCCCATCCCAGCTACTCGGGAGGCAAAGGGCAAGAGAATCACTAAAGGAAGAAGAGAAAAAAAGAAAATCTTTCACTACTGTCCAATCTCTCCCTTATTTTATGCTGGCCAAAAGCAACACATTTAAGTTGAGTGCACTTGGATTATAAACCATGCTTAAAGGTACACCACAGGGCGAATATGAATTAAAAAAAAAAAAAAACCCTAAATAGTCAAACTTATCCTATTGATACAGGACAAGTGGCATCCCAGCCAGCTTGGGCTGCCTCCACCTTGACAATGTTGGTGGCAGCAAGCAGTGGAACCAGTGGGCTAGAGGGTGGGCAGGGGGACCCCATTTTCTAGGCCTGGGAATGAAAGGGATTATAGCCATTCATTTGTGACCCAGACAGGACTTATGTAACTACCAAGCCCTACTAAATGTAACTACCAAGGGCCAGACAAGTCCCAGACACAATGTCCCAGACACCCTAAATGTAACTACCAAGCCCCACTAAATTTAACTACCTTGGGCCCCATGCAACTACATATATATCCCTAAACAAAGAGCAGAGAGTCAGAGAGACAGACAGAGATTTCTCTCTCCCGACTTGGGTTTTCTCTCTGCCAGGAGCTCTGGCGCTTCTGTATTCTTTTCTGTAAATAAATCCCGTCTTACCACTGATCTGTGGTCCGCGGATTCATTCTTCAGTCACTGAGACCGAGAACCTACTGAAAAGTGAAATTCCAGTATCACCATGAAAATTAATTAAAAAAATAGAAAAGAGCTCTACTTCTTGTTAGGTCATAGAAGGACATGAAAAACTTTCCCTTCAGCTGAAATAAACAAGTTACTACACACAGAAAAACTATACAGAAATCTAAGAAGGGGGTTAGCCGGGGATAGAGGACTCTTCTCCACCTGGAGCCCCTTGCTCAAGTGGGCCCAGGGCGGGTACAGAAGCAACCCTGACAGGAACTCAGTCTTTATACTTGGGCCTCAAGTTCCTGTCAGCCTGACAAACTCTGAAATCTGTACAATACCCAATCACCCAGTTTTGATAAGGCAGGACAAGAAAATGTAAGAGAAGAAGTAGGCCATCTGTTTTTGGAACACTAATACTATCGGGATTAATATTGAAGTTATTTCCAATTCTTAACCATTACAAATATCAGTAAGACAGACATCTTTACTAAAACTTATTCATCTCTATTTTCTTAATTAAGATCCATTTTTGAATACAGAATTACTAAGGCAAAAGAAAGAACTCTAAGGCTTTTGATAAATATTACCAAACACTACCCAGAAAGATGTTAAGTGTTAACCATTTACAACTCTACTGACAACATCCATCTCCCAGTTTCACTGCTACCTCAAAACAGCAAGGGCATGTCATGTGATCCTTGTCCATTCATTCACATGACTTCTATGCCAGCCATTCAGTCCCAGATGTCTGGCTGTACTGGGTTCTTTTCTACACAGCGCCCTCACAGCTCTTACGCAAATATGGGGTGCTTCTACTGGGAGGGAGGGCAGTTCGGACAGAAGGAGACATAGGAAGTGCCCTCCAGCACTGCCTCTAATTCCTGCACTAGGAAGAAAGGACAAAGAAATCTGTGACTCCTAAGTACCTGGCCTCTTCTTACACAGCCTGTGCCCAGAAAGAGCACAGGATCTAGTCTAGGAGAGTCTCACTGCCTGGTTCAAATCCTGCCTCTGTAGATCTTGAGACAAGTCTTTAACTGCTCATCAGTTTCCTCATCTGAAGATAGAGACTGAATAAAATCATAGCCCCCCTCATCTGCTATTTCACTTTCAGTAGTTTTTTAGTCACCCATCGTCAACCAAGGTCTGAAAATACAGAACAGAAAAGTCCAACAGTAAACAATTCATTAAGTTTCAACTGCATGTGCTCCGAGTAGCATGATGAAGCCTCATGTTGCCCCACTCTGTCCTGCATGGATCATCCCTTTACCCCGGGTATACACACTGTAAATCAGGGGTCCTCAAACTTTTAAACAGAGGGCCAGTTCACTGTCCCTCAAACCGTTGGAGGGCCGGACTGCGGGCCCCGGGACGAGTCAGCTGCTAAGCAGGACAGGCAGCTGTGGCAAACATACCGGGCGGGCCGGATAAATGTCCTCTGCGGGCTGCATATGGTCTGCGGGCCATAGTTAGAGGATGCCTGCTATAGATATACCCATGCACCCTCTCAGTTATCAAATTTAAAAAACAAACAAAACACAAGAAACCATGTAGTATAGAGCTCAGTACCACCTGAGGATTTAGGCATCCACTGGGGGCCTCAGAAAGTATTCCCTGAGGATAACAGATAACTGCTGTAGTCTTACACCTGAGAGGTCAATAAGATGCAATGAGATGATATTCAGTGAACAATTTTGATGAAAAGTTTAGTAAAGGAAAGTTAAAACAAGAAACTAAAATAAGATTGTCATGGATTTTCTCAGCACTAATCAAGTCTCAGCCATGATTTATAATAGCTGTCAAACTGCTATCAACCCCCACCACAAAATGCCAAAACAGCATTCATGTACCTGAATTCCTCCAATTCTTCATCTACAGTTAAGGAAGCACGCTTTGTTATTTAGATAGCATCAAAAGCAAAGGAATGGGCCAGTGCACCTACCTGGCAGTCCTGCCTGCTCTGTGAATGTATGTGTTGGCATCCTCCGGACAATCAAACTGAAGAACCCAATTCACAGCTGGGAAATCTATGCAGAGAGAATAATCAATGCCAGTTAGGAAATCGGTTCAAGATCTGCCCTGCTACACTATTTTTATTCATATTGCCCGCTAGGACTTTCTATCATATCAAACTGATAGATACCATCTGTGAACTCTATTAAAAATAAAGTTAATTGCATGAACCAAGAGATAAACATTTGATAAAGTGAACTAAAATTAATGACTGAATGTGAAGATTACTTTGTATCTGACACGAAGAGACAGATTGCTTTGTGTCAAACAATGAAATGCCCGGATATGTAAGAAATCAAAAGAACTACTTTTCATGAGAGGATTTAAAAATAATAATAATTACTTTTCATGGGGCCCTACTGAACTGTATGACCAGTTTCTAAATTTAATTGGAGGTTTAATTTTCTTGCTATTTCCACCTTCATGCTAATAAGTGATTTTCTTTGTCCCTCTCCTACTTCTTAGAATTATTCCACATATATTTTCTGCCTATAGCAGTTTTCATTTCCAGAAAATCCTCTCAGCTCCTTAACAGAACTACCTTTGGTCATTTATAGATTTTGCAGCAAGGATATTGCATCGATTTCTGTCAGAGAAAAGAATTAAGCACAAAAAGAAATTTTTTTTTAAGATATTGGAAGATAATGTTATAAGTATCACAACTGTCACTAAGTCATGCAATGTATTCAAAGGGGTTGAATTTTCGTATGAGGAAGAAGAGCCAAGGAAAACAGAAGAGAGATATTCAGTACAATTCCCTCTTGGGACTTGAAATAACCAAGTACCTCACCCAGCAGGGGCAGGTTACAAGGTTACAGACAGATGGGCTGAAAGAATCTAGTCTCTGCCTCACCCCATGCAGTTGTGTCTCAGGAAGAAAACCAAGAATCTTATTCTGGAGAAAGGCATCAGGGCCCAGGACACCAGCAGCAGACTGAAAACAGGAGCACGGAGGAAGTCAGTCTCTACACTACCTGGCAAAGCTTCATTCTCATGAGAGTGAGATTTTCTTCTCTGGAGAGACAAAATACTGAAGGCGAGATCGCTACAGTTTGAGTTTTCCACAAAACGACTGGCTCTGCCCAAATCCCCTCACAATGATGGCTATTAGTCAATAATTATGCCTCTTCTATATGCAAACCACTTTAAATAGATTTTTAGTGCCGTCACTGCTATAAGAAGACCTCTAAACGTAGACAATTAGAAGATTTAAATATGAAAGACAGCTGAAAAACAGAAAAAAATGTGGAAAAGAGAAAACAAGACCAATACCTTTGAAGCAAAAGCTGGAAAGAAAGTGTTCTTAAGAGTTGAAAGTTAAAATTTTAATAGAAAAGTTTAACTATAAAGCAAAAGAAATCCTCCAGAAAGAACAAGACAAGGGCAAAGAGGCAACAGGAGAAAGACGGAAAAATGAGAAGATCAAGGTCACAGGCTCTTCCAGAAAGAGTGAATGAGGGGAGGAACTAGAGGGAAGGGAGAGATTTTATGACAATACTGTTATTTACTGCAAGAAAATCACAAAAAAAAGTTTAAGAAAGAACTGTGACTATGTAATCATAGTCAAAATAATGTAAATATGGCATATTTAACCAAACACCAAGAAGCAATTCATAGGTAAATTTCTGCAACTGAGAGACTTGAGTATCTACTCTATGGGGTTCAATATGGTAACTATTCAAGTTTAATCAAAATTAAATAAGGACTCATCCTTTCCTTAGTTCCACTAGCCCCATTTTGAGGGTTCAACGGCCACATGGAACCACACTAATTGTACAACAGTTGCAGACATGGAATGTTTAGTCATCACAGAAAATGGCATGAACAGCACAAGTCTGGATCTAAAGGACCTCAAACTCAAGTGTGTATCATAAAATGTCAGAGCACTGGATAAAAAGAAAATCCTAGGAATATCCAGAAAAAGAAAAGGGGGTTAACAAAGAATCAGAAAGGCAGACCTCCACAAAATACTGGCTACTAGGAGGCAAGAGAAAATGCCTGCGAGCTTCTAAGAAAATTTTACCTGGGAATTCTACTGCCCAGCCAGTTATCACTCAGATGGGCCATTATCAGACATGCAAGGATTCCCTTCACTCTCCAGATTCCCTTAAAAAGCTATAGGGGAATAAGCTTTATTTCTTAAAAACTAGTAAGTAGTAAGCCAAGAAAACCATGACAGATAATCTGAAAAGAAAAGTCCCAGGAGGAGAAGTGAGCATCAGGCCTACAGAGCAACCAGTCTCAGTTAGAGCAGAGACAGAGGCCACAGAGGGAGGGCCCGAAGGAAAAAGAAAGCGAACTGTGAACTGTTACAGAACTAGGCACAGAATACCTACTGTATTGAGAATTTAGAACTGGGAACACAGAAAACTAAGCACATTGTATAGCAATCAACTCAATTAGTGACTCAAAAACACAAAAGTACAAGACAGGTAACACCCTTAGTACACTATTTCTTTCCTGAAACAAACAACTATAATTAAAACAACGTAAACATGAAATATTTAACCAAAAGTCATGAAAAAAGGAAAGACAGAGGTAACAGAAGAGAGATAGACGATTGTTGGAGAGGTTATAAAAGGAATAATCAGGATAATTTCTAAACTTGACAGATTAAAAAATGATAACATATGATTACTCAGGAATATGAATCAAAATACCAGAAAAAAGGAGAAGTATTTACTTCTAGAAGGAGAGAAGGGAAGAGCAAGGTCTGGTATGTCTGCTATTTTTGCCCATATGCATGTATTATTTATTAAAAAATAAAATGGATACCCGTTTGATTCAAACTGGCCAATGTACGTATGGGATGGAACTTTTTGACTGCCAATAAAAAGGGAAAGACCAAGCCAGTCAGGGAGCACGGCCATTTGGAATTCTTCTATGCCATAAGCTCCCGCCAGTAAATAAAGCCCTTCCTCTTATATTATAAATAAATAAATAATAAAATAAAATTTGTAAAGTCAAAAAGAATAGTTTTTTGTTTTGTTTTGTTTTGTTTTTTAGAGACAGAGTCTCACTTTGTGGCTCTTGGTAGAGTGCCATAGCATCACAGGTCACAGTAACCTCCCGCTCCTGGGCTTAGGCAATTCTCTTGCCTCAGCCTCCCAAGTAGCTGGGACTATAGGCACCAGCCACAATGTCTAGCTATTTTTTTATTGCGGTTTGCCCAGGGCTGGGTTCGAAGCCTCCACCCTTGGTATATAGGGCCAGAGTCCTACTTACTGAGCCACAGGCACCGCCCAGAATAGTGTATTCTAAAGTTCTTAAACTTTTATATAAGAGAGCTCCAGGGTATTCCCTGCATATTTGTGTAATAGGAAAAACTAGCAATTAAATGTCTAGTATTATAGAAAAGAATATACTACTGGATTGATTCACACTATGGGACTTTCTAAGCAAATACTGGATCTTTATACGTCAACATGGAAAGATGTCAAAATCAAGTTATAGTCTAGTAGATAGGATATAGTTTATATGAACTTTTAAAACATCTAATACTATATAGTGCTTATGAATACCTGTACATTAAGTATTTCCATTAGAAATAGACTGAAACAGAAGCTCTTAATACTTTTTATGCCATAAAGGCTATGAACCCCTTCTAAGAATACATAGGTTATGAGAAAAATGAAATAGGCCTTTTTATTGAACTCCTAATATAGTCATGTATATTCTTACTAACACATTAAAAACATTACCCACTGTAATACCAAAATAGTGCCAAGATTGAGCAGTATTTCCAGATATCTGTAAAAACTAATGTAAAATGAAAATATGATTTCAACTGATGACAAAGTCACAGTACTACTAAAACTGTGTTGGTTTGCTACTTACATTCAGAGTACTGAATTTCAGTTAAAAGAGATTTTTTCCTCATACAAGTTCATGGACCTGCTGAATTCTATCACAGATTTTTTGGACTAGATGTAACCATCAACGAATATGACAGTAACTTTGAGGAGAAAGGGGAGTAAGATGGGACAGGAAAAGAATACAGAGGACTTTATCAATTAATATTTAATAATATTAAAAGAAGATGACAAAACATTAAAATCTAATTGTGATATATGTAATGTTTTTAAATCATCTTCTAATTTTTCAAGAAAGGAATCTGGCCTTTAAAATGAGTGAATTGCTGGTTCAAAATCATATTGAGATATAAACAGATACAAGTACAACCGAAATGTTTCAAAAACTCGATAGTCAAATGTGATGAAGGTGAAGAATGAACAGCCTAGAGAACTTTGAAAGAGCGCACTCTTGGCTCGGCACCCGTGCTCAGTGGTTAGGGCACCAGCCACGTACACCAGGACTGGCAGGCTCAAACCTGGCTTGGGCCTGCTAAACAACAATGACAACTACAACAAAAAAATAGCTGGGCTTTGTGGCGGAAGTCTGTAGTCCCAGCTACTTGGGGGGGCTGAGGCAAGGGAATCGCTTAAGCCCAAGAGTTTGAGGTTGCTATGAGCTGAGACGCAGCAGCCTACTGAGGGCTACATAGTGAGACTCTGTCTCAAAAAAGAAAGAAAGAAAAAGAAAATACGCCTTCCTGGCTACTATCTCCAGGCATGCATGGATGAAATGGTATGTCATCTGAGATAACCTTTACAATATTGCAAGAGAGAGAGAAAAAAAAAAAAATACTCCAAAAGAGATAGGAGAAGGGATTATGAAAAAGACTAAAGGTGGGTAAAGTGTATACAAGGGTAGACAACACTCTTTGCGTTTGTAAAACTTGCCATAAAGTGAAGATTTAAATTCTCGTCCTTTGTTCTTATCTCCAAACTAGTTTTCTCCTCTAATTACTCTCATCCCCATCCCATACTCACAAAGCCTCAGTTATCTATCAACACAATGGTTTTTTGAAACTCTAAATACATTAAATGTAGTGATTTTAAGATAAAAATTAGAATGGTTGGTGAAAAGATGGACTTCACTGACTTGTTAAATGAGTTTGATATCTATGAACAACTTTCCAATTTTCAAAGAAACAGGGATTGCTTTCTTATCACCTAACTTTTAATCCTCCTTTTGATTTTGAGGCTGCTCAGGATTCTATGGTGTAATTATTACAAAACAATGGTAAAAGCACAAAAAATGCAAATATAGAAATTTTCACCAACACATCCTTAACTAAGTTAACTGCTACCAATTTACTTATTTTTCTCTTACAAAGTAAGAAAAGGCCAATTATTTGAGCCTATCAGATTTCCCCAAACACACCCTGTAACAAACCATGTTTCTTGCAATCACAGAAATCTCAGGGTAGGAACTCTCTTACCCAGCCCCCTGGCGGCGATGTCGGTTGCAAACAGCACTGCGGCTCTCTTCCGGACAAACTCGTTGTAGACCTCCATCCTTCTCATCTGCTGCTGCCGACCGTGGAGGGCGAGGATGGAAACTCCAGGACGCAGCCGGCAGAACACGCGGTAGAGATACTGAACCTGGTTGTTAACAGAAGAGCGAGTTGGGTACTTCCAGATGGCAGCAGTGAAGTTTGTAAGATGAACAGTAAAAATGTACGAGGCAAACAAATTTTACCAAATACAAAAATCTCCAAACATGGAGCAGAGAAAGGGAAATGTAATGTAGTCTGATATTTTTGTTCACGTATTTCCTTAGCTTTATTTCAAATACTCTTCTAACATTTTTACATTGATACCCAAAGTCTTTCCAAATTTGAATAGATGCAAAGAAGGTAGTTTCTGGTAAATACTGATGATCTAATATAAACACTTATCTCTCACAAACTTATCCAATGAATTCTAAATAGCACAGCAATTTGATACCCACTACCAACCACGTACAAAGTGTGAAGCAAACATTTTGACAGAAAGACTCTACCTCCTTCCTCTAATTCGCATTCCTATTTTCTGACCTCACAGAATTGCTTCGTACGTTTGGGGCCTAAAAATTTCTTACTCATCATTCTCACAGCTCAATTTTCTACAAAAATTGAAGCTGATACACATACTTTTAATTTCCTATGGCCATAGACTGACTTAACTTTCTTTTTAGACTGAGCAATTACTACAAAAATTAGTAGTACATAACCAAAAAATGTTAGGATTTCATAAACGGTTAGACATAAAATTATTGTAAATGTCTGGGACCAAACGAGGCTGATCATTTTGGTTTTCTCTTACACACTCCACTGGACACTGAGGGCTGCTAGACCAAAACGGACTGCAGCATCTCTTTCCCCGCGTCACATAAACACAGAAAACGGACTCAAAGGAAGTTTAACCCTTAGAGCTCCTACAAACATGCCAAAAATCATGATGTATGATAAACGATTTTTGGTGATCCACCACTTAACCCTATTAAAGTGTCTCTTCCATTTTGTTGACGAGAAGGGAAAACCAAGGGAAGTGACTTGTTACCCAGTCATTAGTCGTTCACTTTCTCAGCACCAGTGTCCCAGTGCCAAGGAGGTTCTGATTCTGAGAAACACACCAGGATGATTCGGGATGGACGGACTTAGGCCTTTCTTCTGTAGAGATCTCAAGTGAGATCCCCCATGAAAGAGGGGATGGGAAAGGAGAACCAGAGGACTACAGATGCAATCTTAGGCAAGTTGATCTCAGAAGAAGCAAGTTGGACATTCAGGAGGTGTATACTGAGTTCATTCAAACTTGCCCCAATCTGCATCTCATGAATCAAGACAGGCCTCGAATTCCTGCTGTTTAACAAACTAGCTGGGGTAGACATGCGAAATAAAGCCATGTAGGTTCTAAGCATGGACTTTAAACAGAAAAAGTCACTGCCGGGTTTTAATCAAGCTAGTGCTTTATTCTAGCTTCTGCTTTCCAAATATTACTCTGGCTACACTGTGGAAAAACTACTGGAAAGAAAGTAAGGGAATGGAGAGACCAGTTAGGAGGCGGAGGGAAAATTAAGCCTGGTCCCAACTACACTGCAGCACAGCAGGTGGTGAGAAGTGACAGCCAGTGAGTGACCAGACTGAATACAGGTTAAGGACAGGAATTGAGAAGTCAGCCCTTTGAAAGGAGGAAGAGTTGGAAGAAGCCCATCTAGGGATAAGAGCTCTTCAATTGCTTTTCCCATGTTAAGTCTGAAATGCCTTCTGGACACACAATTGAAAATATCTAGTAGTCACGTGGATACACAAGTCCAGAGCCCAGGAAAGAATTGAGGGCTTGAGATGTGTATTTGGCAGCTAGCATATGGACGAATTTAAGCCATGAAACTAATGAGGTTACCTAGAAAGACAAATGGGAAAAGGGCTGAGCAGAGCTCCAAGGAACTCCCAGTTGCTGTGGTCAAGCAGAGAACCAGCACAGGGTGTTAAAGCAGAGAGAATGAAGCGTTGGGGGTGGGGGTGGGGGTGTTAATGTGTGGAGTCAGAGTCTAAAGAAGATTCTTGTTCAAGAGGGAGGGAATGCTAGTTTTTCCAGATCTTTAAAGTAGGACAGTGGTGCTTTAATGGGGATTGCATTAAATCTATAGATTGCTTTGGGTAGTATGGACATTTTAACAATGTTGATTCTTCCCAGCCATGAGCCTGGTATGTTTTTCCATTTGTTGACATCTTCAGCTATTTCTTTTCTCAGAGTTTCTCTTTACAGAGATCTTTCACGTCCTTTACTAGGTACACTCCCAGATACTCCGTTTTCTTTGGCACTACTGTAAAGGGAATAGGGTCCATGACTGTTTTTTCAGCTTGACTATTGCTGGTATATATGAATGCTCCTGATTTGTGAGTATTGATTTTGTAAGCCTGAGACGCTGCTGTATTCCTTGATCACTTCTAAGAGTTTTGTGGTTGAGTCCCTGGGGTTTTCCAGATATACAATCATATCATCTGCAAAGAGTGTAAGTTTGATCTCTTCTGATCCAATATGGATAGCCTTGATTGCCTTCTCTTGCCTGATTGCAATGGCTAAGACTTCCATTACAATGACAAAAAGCAGTGGAGATAGTAGGCAACGTTGCCTGGTTCCTGATCTGAGTGGAAATGTTTTCAATTTTACTCCATTCAATATAATATTGGCCATAAGTTTGCTATAGATCAGTTTAAGAAATGTCCCTTCTATACCTATTTTCTTAAGTGTTCTGATCATAAAACGATGCTGGATATTATCAAAAGCTTTTTCTGCATCAACTGAGATAATCACATAATCATACGATCTTTTTTATTTTATTATATTTATAGATTTATGTATGTTGAACCATCCTTGAGAGTCTGGGACAAAACCCACTTTGTTGTGGTATACAATTTGATGTGTTGCTGGATTCTCTTTGCTAAGATCTTTTTCTTTTTTTTTTTTGCTTGTACAAAAGGTCTTTATTGGTGGGGGGAGGGAGGCTGCAGAGCAGCACCGAGGAGGAGAGAAAAGAGGAGGGGAGAAAAGGGGGCAGAGAGATAAGGAGAGAGTGGGGAAGAGAAGAGAGAGTAGAAAGAACAAGGAGGAAGAGGAGGAAAAGAGCTCTTTGCTAGGATCTTATTGAATATTTTTGCACCAATATTCATTACAGATATTGGTCTATAATTTTCTTTTCTTGTTGGGTCTTCTCCTGGTTTGGGGATCAGAGTGATGTTTGATTCATAGAATGTGTTGGGAAGTATTCCTTCTTTTTCTATGTTTTGGAAAAGGTTAAGTAATATGGGTACTAGTTCCTCTTTAAAGGTTTGGTAGAATTCTGATGTGAAGCCATCTGGTCCCAGACTTTTCTTTTTGGGAAGATTTTGTATAGCTGATGCTATTTCAGAACTTGATACAGGCCTCAAAAGACCAAAAATCACTTTGCAAAAAAGATATCTGCCCCAGATTATTCACTGCAGCTCAATTCGTAATAGCCAAGTCACGGAAGAAGCCCAAGTGCCCATCAACTCATGAATGAATTAATAAATTGTGGCATATGTATACCATGGAATACTATGCAGCCTTAAAAAAGAAGGAGGCTTTACCTCATTTATATTTACATGGAGGGACCTGGAGCACATTGTCCTGAGTAAAGTATCTCAAGAGTGGAGGAAAAAGTATCCAATGTACTCAGTACTTCTATGAAACCAACTTATATTTACTCACACTTTCTTATGAAAGATAGA